GGTATTGAATATGTATCACTTTTACACCATTGTAAAGCTGGAAAATCATAAGTCCCATCATAAGTAGGAAACCATCTGTATGTAATGTGTCTTTTTCTCTCTGGCTGTCTTCAGCAATTTGACTATGGTGTGCCTAGATTTGGTTATCTTAATACTTATCCTGCTTGGAGTTTGCTGAACTTCTTGGATCCATAGCTTAGTAGGAGTTTTGCACCAAAATTTGAGAAAATTTCAGCCATTATTTCTTCACATAGTTTTTCCATACCACTCTTTCATGTTTTTTAGAATTCCAATTATACGTATGTTGGATTCTAGATACGTCCCCACATGTTGCTGGATATTTGTCCACTTTTTTCCCTCTCTGTCTTTCAGTTTGGACAATTTGTATTTGTTTTCAAGTTCACTGATTATTTCTTTTGCAAGCTTTAACTCTTTTTTTCTTTTTAAAATTTTCAATTATAAATTGGCAAATTATAGTTGTATATATTTATGGCATACAAAATGTTATGATTTATGAATATAGTATGGAATAATTATATCTTCACATTACATACAGATGGTCTCCTACTTATGATGGTTTGACTTATGATTTTCCAGCTTTACAATGGTGTAAAAGTGATACATATTCAATACCCTCCTTGACTTACAATGAAGTTATGCCCAAATAAATCCATCATGAGCTGAAGATATCACAAGTTGAAAATGCACCTTTGATTTATGATATTTTCAGCTTAAAATTGGTTTATTGAGAGGTAACCCTAATGTAAATTGAAGAATATCTGTATAGGAAACAATGATATAGGCATACCTTGGGTAACTGTGCTTTGCTTTATTGTGCTTCACAGATACTGTGTTTTTTGGGGGTTTTTTTGTTTGTTTTTTTTTTAAACAAATTAAAGGTTTGTGTTGAGCAAGTCTGTCAGCACCATTTTTCCAACATGTGCTCACTTTGTGTCTCTGTGTCATTTGGTAAATCCTTCAGTTACTGTAGTTTTATTTCTAGAATTTTCATTTGGTTCTTTTTAGTTTTTTTCTTTTTTGAGATTTCTTATCTATTTTCTCATGATCTTTTATATTTTCATTTTTGTCTTTGAATATATATTCAAAGTCCTTCTCTGTTAATTCCAACATGTGCATTATCTTGGAGTCTGCTGAATTTTATATGTATTCATGGATCACATTTTCCTGCTTCTCTGAATGCCTTATGTTTTTATCATATGTAGAACATTGTAAAAGATATGTTTTAGGGAGTCTGTATTATATTCTTTTATTTATTATTTATTTATTTATTTTGAGATGGAGTCTTGCTCTGTCACCTGGGCTGGAGTACAGTGGCACATTCTCAGCTCACTGCAACCTCCACCTCCTGGGTTCGAGCAATTCTCTTGCCTCAGCGTCTTGAGTAGCTGGGACTACAGGCATGCACCACTACACCGGCTAATTTTTGTATTTTTAGTAGAGATGGGTTTTCACTATGTTGGCCAGGTTGGTCTCAAACTCTTGACCTCAGGTGATCCACCCTCCTTAGCCTCCCAAAATGCTAAGATTACAGGTATGAACCACTGCATCCGTCCTGTATTATGTTCTTTTAAACATTATGTTGAATTTTGTTCTTTCTGGCAATTAAATTGCTGGGAGATCATTTTGCTTCTTTCAGGCTTGCTTTGATTTTGCATAGGGGCAGGTCTGTTTTCATTTTATCCCCAGTGCTACGTCGTGACCTTTACTCTTGAATATGGTACTTATGCCTAAGATACAGCCTTTCTGGAGTCACTGTTGAATGCCTAAGGTATTCCATAAAATCTTTCCACTCTGGATTAGTTGGAATTCTAATATATCCCAGAAGTGTATGTCCTCTGGCATCTCAGCCCACAGTAGTGCGCTCTTGCGTCTTTCTTAGTCTCATCTTTTGACTGGTAGCCAATCCCTCATCCAAGGACTGGGAAACCACTGTGTAGACTGTTGAGGTTCTCTGTGTAGCTTTCTTTTCCCTGGTGTCCTGACCCACAAATTTCAGCAGCCCCAAGCAACAATCTTCCCTCTTCAGCTCAAGACTGTCATACTGTTCTAAAATGCCACCTCCCTGGGCTGTAGTCCAGCAAGTATCTCTATGCAGCAAGCCAGGGCTCAACATAGGCTCACATCATGTCTTGATCTTTCAAATATCCTACATAGTTGTTCTATTTGTTGTCCAAATGCATGAAAACAGCTCATATCCTTTATCCAGTTTTATAGTCATTTACGGTGAAAGGTCAAGTTCAGAACCAATTACTTCATCATGACTAGAAACAGAGTGAATTTTTTTTTTTTTTTTTTTTTTTTTTTGAGACCAAGTCTCA